CCCCAAAACCCCAAAACCCCAAAACCCCAAAACCCCACTGAGCCATAAAAGTATTGAAATTACTCAAGACTTTATGGAGCAAAACTCAGGTTAAAGATCAGCCAGCAGTCTGGATTTCAAGAAGAAGTATGTAGAGAGGTGCCCACTAACTCGACTAGCTTTACTGTCTCATTCACCCTAGGTTGTAAGCTATAAATATGGTATTTTCAGGAATCGCAATGAGCCATTCAATAAGTTCTGGAAAACTGTTGAGCCCAAATCTGCTGCTAGAACTGGCTGGAATGGTAATTAATAACATAAGTTGAAGATATCCTTAAGATGGAGAATCATATAGAAGCCCATTTAATGATGAAAACAACTAGTTCTCATCAATAAATGACTAAACATTAGTGTAATGTATTCATGATACTTCTTAATGCAATTTTGTAGATCTTTTGATAAGATACTTAAACTGTTCAGAATGATTGAGTTCATCAGAACAGGCTAAGTCAATATATCTAGTTTTTCTTCTGCTCAGAGACAATACCTTAATTTTTCATTATCTTAAACAAAAGTTATCCAAAACAAACTATGAAGGATCTTCCTTATACGTCATAATATTTCATAAGCATATCGATCTGCAAAGATGAAATCTTTAGCAAAATTGCAGAGGATTAATAGAGAAATGCTTTGTATCTGTTCACACTATCTGGATGCCACAATTCAACCTTGTTATTCTTAGCTGTAAAGAAGATTACTTAGCATGAGTAGCATTATCTATTGAGTAAGGTATTCCTGCAGGATGCAAAATATTTTAGTATATATATCAAGAATTCACCACATTCAAGTACTGAAAACTGCTTGGTTAGGTCACAATGGTAATGAAGATAGTACCTGCGAGAAGACTAATGTTCAGGTTCAATAAAATTATAGAATTTTCCTTAGTTCCTGCATTACTTCCGACCAGTTTCTTTTAGCAAAGTTTAAATAAAATAAAGCTACTGGGGTTCTGTTCTCTATGAAAGTTCTAGGTTTTTCTTGAAATCTCCATCAGCTTAGTATAAATATATCAAAAATTAGGAGAACCCAGAAATAGTTGGATTTTTGGTGCTGGAGTGAAATAAATTATGAGGAAGAGGAGCTCTTTATTTAGATAAACGAGGACAATCTTTCCAATAGCTATTGAGATATTGCAACATTTCAGCTAGTAAAAAAGATAAAGGGGTTTTGGGGTTTTGGGGTTTTGGGGTTTTGGGG